ATGACATGACTATCACCGTGGTAATGAGTAACACAAGGAAAGGAATGGCATCATTAGCATGTTGAATACAAATATTGTCCAAAATAGAACTTATATTCCTTTGAAAACTTTAGTTCTGCCAGAAACTTATGAGATGTAATAAAATGACACACTAGAGCTGGCTTTTCTTGAATTATAAATGTCAAGTATCAAATTAAAAAAAATTACCCTGTAGAGTGATATATTTATCACAAGTGAAAGTAGTCAACAACGTGATTTAAGTCCTCGAAATTACCTCATTTTCTATGAATGTAACAAGCACCTGTATTTACTGAAATTCCAAGCCACCTGTTAATTAGATTACAAAAACTGCACACAGAAAATGAACTCGTTTAGGCTTTGAATCTGTATAATCCTGCTTCCCATCCTTCTGTCTGAGTCACCACTGTCAGGATACAAAGCTCAAGACATGACAGTTACTATCCAGACAGTACAGTTAGACTAATCCCAGGACTGCTCACCGGTAACACCCAGCTTTTGAGTTTGAATTTCTGACAAGAAAAAAAAACAAAAGACCTGTATTGGTTAGGAAGGGGGAATCTCATGGTCTTGGTTGAAAGATAGGAAAAGAGTTGAAGTAAAATTTAGAAAAGTGACTGTTTTAAAGAGTCACACTGAATATGCAGATTGGCAAGTAAAATATTAAAGAGCTCCTTTATTTCCATATTTACCATTTATTTCCATACTACTTCTGACAAATAGTCTGTCATTTGAATATAAAATGTGTTTAAATCTTAAAAATGGTTTCTTTAGCATGTTCCAGCTGTTTTTATTTTTTAAAGCGTCAAATGATTTTTGGATAGGAAGATGGAATTGGTACGAACGGTGGGCAGCAGACTGAGCACCACCAGGGCTGTTGAATGCCCACACTGTGACTGCCCTTCTAGAATCTGGGCTGCCATTTGTGAATCTACTTTTTTCTATTATAGTAGCATTTTAGTTTTTCATCTCTGCTGAAACTTATGGTTTCAAGGACACACCATCACTTATTACGTTTATATTCCATCCTCACCCCACCCAGACACTTCCATAATTCTAGTGAGGTTTCAAAATGCAGATTATTCAGTTAAATTTAATCAATTAAATTATTCAATGCTACATAACACATCTGATGAGCTGTGCTATTTGTGCAAAGCTGGAGCATTTGGCTTAGGCATTTAAGTTTCCCTTGAACATGTTAGTAGATCTCAGAAAGAATAATGTAATCAGAAGTCATAATTTGTGTTAGAACCAGGAGTAGTGATTAAGGCTTTAAACTTTTGGTGCTGGTTGTGGTCAGGATCTATGGAGAGTTCCAGTTTCAAATGACAGTACAATCTTGCCTTTGAAAGCACGCCAGTACTCCCCGTTTGAGTTTGGTATTTTATACGCTGACTACAATAATGAGTCTCTAAACTGTGAGAGAGAAGGAGCAGATGCCATTTGAAAGAGGAAGATTAAGTCATATTTGGAGAAATGGAAGGCTTTGTGGCACCTTCTAAATAGGCGGTCTCCTGTTGACTTCTGACGATGTCAATTTTCCACCTGCTGATTTGATGGTTTGTAACCCCAGCGAAGGTGAGAGGGCAGAATGACCTTTCTGTTTTCTAGGGGCTGCCAGGCAATGCCTTTGAAACTTGGAACTAGGGCTTTGCTATTTTGATAGGCTGTTTATTAACAGAAGTGTGATTGCGTTCCCTATTGCTGTTTCAAAGGTTTCCTGAAATGCTTCCTGCCTTATGCATGAGTCAACCCGCCTTTGAAATTGTCTAGTAGGAGCTTGCTGGTATAAATTTAGCATCACTTATATGGGTCTCACACTGAAAAAGCAATTAGCTGAAAAATCTTTTTTTCATTCGATTCAGTTATTCTCACTGGGTCCAGATTTAATTCATAAATGTCAGATAAGAGGAAAGGAGGAGGATACAGGAAGTCTCATTAATTTAGAAAATAAGAAGTTTCCTTTTAGCTGCAGTTTGCTTATAACTAGACAAGAATTGATGTCCCACTGTCTATCACTTTATAAAATCACAAATTAAAAAGATTATAAGGATTGATTATTTCATGCTACTCTTTATCATCATAACCTTTAGAAATTGTAGCGGTTTCCCCCCTGTTTTTTATCATCTCTAACACAGTAGATGTTCAATAAATATTTGTTGAAAGAAAGAATTGTTACTTAATAAATTCTAAATATCATGACCAAAGGGTTATATAAACCTGTACAACAATATCAGAACTTTAATTAAAGAACCAGTGATATAACATATGTTCTTCTGCTTAATGGTAACCAAACCAGATTTTTGCCCGGAAGTCAGCTGAGTGTAAAAATTTAAAGAACATAATCGCTTATAATCTTTTTGCTTCTGGATTAACTTGTGGCCTGTGTGTATATGTGTGTGTATATGTGTGTGTGTGGGGGGGAGGGGAGGGGGGATGTGGCTATTGCTGAGTTATATATGGTTGTGAAGATTTTATCACTTTAATAAGTATTAATTTCACATTTTATATGTGGCTCGCACAATAGGAAAAATATAGTTTTATCACAAAGAAAAGATTGCCTTTTGAAAAGTAACTATATTATTCAATTAACCAAAAGACATGAGACAAGCAGATTTTACTTATGTCTTAATAATCAATGTTCAAGAGATGGGGGAGACCTTAAATGAATCTCTTTCACTGACTTCTTTCTCTCATAAAAAAAAACAACCTAGAATGTCAAAGAAAATGAAAGCTGCTCCAAGTCACTTGACTTGCAAATCAGTTTGGCCTGGATTCTAACTGGGAATTAAGCTCCAATAAAAGGTAGAGGGCTGGTGCTAAAACAACAGGGACCAAAGCAGGAGGCTTTGTCCTTGACAGTGAATGACTAAAGAGCTGTGTGTCAAAAAAAGGCTGTAATTTGGTTAGATAATGCTATGGGAGCAATGAAAGAGCTGCTGGTCTGGTTAACGTGGCTTGGTATAATGATCTTAAGTATCCCCACTGTCTGTGTCTAGCTTGATCCCCATTTTAAAAAGCTTTCCTGGTATGTGGGCAGTATTTGTTGAATAGAAGGGCTATTAATGGGGAAAAAAGTCAGATAGAACACTGTGCTCTCTCAGCTTTTCTGGGAAAGGAAGTAACAATGAAATGATTCCGTCAATAACATTATTTGCAACTTTGAGTCAATCTTTTCAAACTATAGCTTTAAAAATTATACTTTTTCCAAATCACATTTTTAGATCATAAAACCCAACCAGATTCTAGGGTAGGGAAAATTCGGTACTCATTGGCCATTGCCTAAAAGCTACTGTTCTCCAGTGTGTGTGTGTGTGTGTGTGTGTGTGTGTGTGTGTGTGAGAGAGAGAGAGAGAGAGAGAGAGAGAGAGAGATGGGGGTGTTTTAATAGGTAATCTGTGTAGGCAGCTTGTGGGAGATGTTTAGGGGTTAGGTTATGTACATAAAAACTTGGAATGGTTGGAAGGCTAATCCTTCTGTGTAGCAGTGACTTTTATCCCCAATTGGACAGATAGGGAGATAAGCTCTGGGGTGTTTGTCTGTCTGTTTGCTTGTTCCTAGGTTAAGCATCCTTTTGGAAACGAAGCTACAAAACAGAGACCAATGAAACATAACCAAGTAGGCATCAGCCTTCTTGGGAAAAATGAAGCTGAACGGAATTGAATATCTATCCTTTCAGGAAGTGGACTGACATTCTATCCCTTCAACTCTGCCCCAGCCAGAGTCGCCTCTTCCCCACTCTGCTGTACTCTGTGTTCCAAGAATAAGCTGAGTGCTTCCCACGTAAATACTGCAAGGACTTGCAACTGGTCCAGCAAATATGGCACATATGATTCTTTTACGTGCTTGAATAAGGAACAATAGCCTTTCGTCAGTATCTCTTTGGGTCTGTGCTCTTTGTATTGTATTGGTAGGGGGGGAAATTTGAAGATCAAACACTAAAAACTGTAACTTTGTAGACATACCCTATATGCTACTGATCAAGCAAAACCTCAATCAGATTACCAAGGGACTTATCACTCAAAAGGAATATCCCTGCCTTCCTTACTTTACCTCCATAAAGGATAAACCCAAAGATCCTTTAACGTTAATATTAATGGTTATAAATTTGGCCCATTGGTGGGTAGAGAAGGGGCAGGAACCAACCGCACAGTGGAGCACTGCAAGTAAACACATTTTCCCCAAGTCAAGTTTTAGTAGAAACTTTTCCATTGGAGGACTTTAGATCAAACATTTCCAAGTTCAATGAAGTAAGATGGTATTTTTTAAGGAACTGAGATCTACGATCTATTTATGTCCATATTTCTAAACATCCACGTCTAAAAGACAGAAAAAATAAGTAGCAATGCAGTCACTGAATAGCAAGGCATGTCCACATTTCAAAGAGGCAGAAACTGTGAAATGATATAACAATAGGTCCAAAATATGAAACAGATTTAGCATAGTCATAGTGCATTGAAAAAAAGAAGGGAAAACACGCTACTGAGTTACCTAAATTAATTTACAGGAAAACAGGATCTTAGAAGTCCTCCGACGAGCCATGTATAGATCATCTAAAGGTGGGGAGTGCTTGTTTTATTTCTAACTGTCCCCTTTAACAAGAGAACATGAGGTAATTAGAAAGTATTCAATGCTTTCTGGACTGTTCTGTTAAATGTCCCAGGCAAGATAAATCAAAATGCTGCAGAAAAGTAAGGCCTAGTTGAGTATTAGGGTAGAGGCCCCCCCTTCAATCAGCTAGTCACCAAATGGAAATCTCATTATACACGCATTCTGTAGAGATGGATTGGTCTCGCTGTAGAAAAGGCTGGTTGCTGAGGATGTGTCTCTTCCATGTTCCTCAGCCTCTTCTGCGTTTACAGAGTTAGGTCTTCAGAGCGGCGAAGGAAAACAGGTCATTTTTCCTTCACAGAGTACCATTGGATGATTCCTCTATATGAAGTATATGAACCTTACCAGAGTTACAGATTTTAAAAAAATTGTTTTAAAATTTGTCATCTCAAAGAGTTCTCAGTCCCCACCCCTCACAAGTTACCATGAAGGGGCACTAAAGTGCATTTTGATGGAGGGGAGTAGAGTTTAAAAGTGCTGTCCAAGGTAAGAACCAAGATGATGCTGTTTAAAAAAGAAAGGCAATTCCTTCTACCTCCATCGCTGGAGTCAATTGAGGGAGAGCAATGAACTAGACCCTCCCCAAAGGATTGTCCTAACTCTTAACTTGAGAGAAAACTGTGTAAGGACCTGCACATATAGACTCATTTATTTGTCCAAAATAGCAAAAATAGGCCTATTTCACCCTTAAGAAAGTATTTGCAAATTTGATCAGTTATGATCGTAAAAACGTGAATGGATTCCAGATGCAATCCATGTGGGCATGCTCGGTGGTACTAACTATGCATCTTCAGCTTAAAAGAACATGCGGCTGCTCATTTTCATCAAAACATGACTTCGAACTACCATAAATAAAATACACGTGGGACAATTAAATCTTTTTCTTACAATAATTATGTTTACATTAAAAAGTCACCATCATCTTCAGATAATATCGAAAAGTAGGACTCTAAATCTTATTCTCTCCCAGTCTTAGTTAACAATTTTGCACAGGCCCGATAATCCAAAACTTGGAGCTCTGGTCTACACAACTTGGCAGGTTTCACACAGTTTGACAGGTAGGCAATTGTGAACTATGCTTTTTTAAAATTAGCATTTTCTATCAAAACAGTCTGAAATCGTTTAAAATCCTCACAGAGACTGTATTTGTGCAATGCCACAGACACACAGCTAGAAAGGGGAAAACAAAGTACAGTCTGGAAGATTCATCACAGTCCAAGTTTTCTTGGTCCTCAGTTTAAACAACCACGAGCCCAGGAAATCCAATTAAATACAGTGCTTTAAATAGAAGACTTGGTCCTAGAATAACTTAGGTGACTAGACAGGGACGGTCTCCACCACGGGTGATTTGATGCACTCCTCATGCAGTCTGCTCTTTTCTGCAAGGCTCAAAGGATTTTCAGCAGAATGCTCTGAAATGTGGCTGCCATTCAATGTAGAGACAAACCCCTCCTGGGAGGGGCCTTTCAAGTATGAGTGAAATTCCATTTGAGGGTGACTGGACCTGTGTTCGGGATATAAGCTATTGCAGGCCACACCGCTGTCATTTTCCGAGGACGAGCAGCAAACGATGACAGAGGGGTTGGCAGCTGGGTAGTGGGAGGTGCCGTAGGCCTCTTCTGCGTGTCGGGCGTAGTCAACGAACTGCTCTGGGGTCATGGTGTAAGGCACCAGCGAGAGGGTACCATTTTTGACAGTATCTCTTTCAGCATAGTTCTCAGAGATCTGGTTAGGAGTTCCTGGAATGTGGCTATCTATTTGGTAATACAGAGTTGAAGAGTTGGCATAAAAAGAAGCATTTTTCGCGTGGCTTTCGTGCACGGCGGTGCCATCAGAATAACACAGGACGGAAGGGAGAGGGACAACTTCAGCATGGGTACCCAAACCTTCCATGAAACTGTCTCCTTTCTCCTCCTCTTCCTCTTCCTCCTCCTCCTCTTCCTCTTCCTCCTCATCTGACTCACTGGGTGCCAAGCTCTGAGTGCTGGAATCGGTGACACCGCTGCAGAAGCTGCTCCCATCCTCCTCCTCCTCCTCCTCTTCCTCCTCCTCTCCTTGGCAATCTAATTCCTCAGCGGACTGCAAGTGCAGTACTGCAGCCTGGGGGTCAGTTTCAATCTCAAAATTGTCTGTGATAGAATATTCTACGGAGTGAGCCACAGGGCCCATGGAACTACTGTGAGCACTTATCTCACCATGGCAGCCGTTCAGCGTAGGGATCTGCTGCTCTCGGTTTTTCTCCAGTTCAAGTTTCATGATTGTGTGCAAAAAGTGAGTCCGGACACGGATAGGATTAAATTCAATTCTACCTGCTGTGTTACTACATCCTTCTTTAGTGCAGCCACACGGGAAAGACATTCGATCCACCTTGGGAGGAAGGACACAGATTAGCCCCATGGAACTCTTACAAACCAAATACAAGTCCAGTACCTTCCAGCAACCCCTCGGAATCTGGGATTACTTAATTCCACTTTGGCTAGACCAAATGACAAACAAATTGCAAACAGAAATGAAAAGGGAAATGGAGGCTTAAAACATAAGAGTCAACCCAGTTTTAAAACCTACATTTAAAATAAAAGTGAGTTACAGTATTATACTAAAAATATACTGCATATTTTGAGTTTGCTGACCCTTCCTGTGCTTTCTCCACTTCTTCCTCCATCCTTCCTTTTTTTCTTCTCTTCATCCCATTCACTTTGCTCCCTTTCTAAAAATGTTTCTGTCCTTTCCCCAAGATCACTTTCCTTGCATGCCAGCTCATGCGTCCAATTTTAAACAAACTTGCCACCCTCATCTCCACCTGCTATTTTTTAATCTAGATTTTATGACATTCCCCATATTAGTCATCTATTTTTTTCTTGGCTTATTATAAGATGAACTTCTCTGTCCAAGGTGTCTAGATTGACACCACTCAGCATATTGTGTAGCCTGATCATTTGTTCCCATTGGTTTGCCTCTGTGCTCGGTGCATGTATGCTGACTGCAGGGCTGCGATGGATATGCACATTCATGACTTTGACTGGTGGACCCCTGTGCTTAGGTCCTGGCTCCCTCCTTCCCCGCTCCACTCCAGTAGACTACAAGTTCCTCAAGTAAAGGGGATGCTCATTTCACCAATATCTTAAAATCATTCAAGTGATTGGATCCTGTGGATAGAGTAGTGGGTTTCGGCAAGTGTTGTTGGACTGAATGCTTAAATAAGTGATATGTGGAATTCTGGGCAATCCAAGGGTACTCCGAAGATATTTGCTAATTGTCCCAGATTCCTCCAATTAGCCTATATGCAGACCAGAGCACAGGCCACCAGAAAGAACTTGCCCTGTTAGCACCTTATCCAAATGTGGGGCATTTCCTATGCAACAGAGGAGAAGGCAGACTCTCATGCAGTCATCTGGGCCCAATAAAAATTAGTAGCAGATGTCAGAACCAGAATCGACAGCTGTTTTCTTACTCATTAATCCCTTTTCTGTGAATCTACCTCAAACAACTATTCAGCTGATGAGAACTATTCTCTCCTTCTGCCTGTCTGAGGAGCTCTCCTTATTAAAAAAGCCAAGTTTCTGCCTAAAATAATGACACCTAACTAATCATGGAGCACCCGTGCTGTTATAGATGAATGGGGACCTGAGAATCATCTAATCCAGGGGTTGGCAAACTTTTTTTGGTAAAGGGTCAGAGAGGAAATACTTTAGGCTTTGTGGGCCATAGGTCTCTGTGGCAACGAGTTGGCTCTGCTGTGGAAAGGTGAAAGCTGTCACAGACAGCACACACGCTGTGTGTCCACAAAACTTTATTTACAAAAAAACAGGCGACAGTCCAGATTGGACCTGTGAGTTATAGAGTTTGCCAACACCTGATCAAGTTCAGCCCTTTCACTTTAGAGGTGGGGAGACTGAGCCCAGAAAGTTGACCTGACCTGCCAATTTCAAGTAGCTGGCAACAAGCGGAGCCAGGAGTAGGACTCAGTTTTCTCCGTGTCAGTCTAGTGATTTTTCCACTCGTCTATACCACCTCTCCCCAGTCATCATTTTAAACCCCTGGATGGATCCGAAAATAGAAACTCAAATGTTAGGGAAGTGATGATCTGCTTGAATGCTTGTAAAAAGCCAAAGTAAACTAGTCTAATCAACGGATCCAAGAGCAAATAATGTCAGTTAACTCAGCTACAGCTTGGGTTGCCTTTCGTAAAGGCAATAAAGATGTGCAGCATTGCGCTACTGGGATTATATCTGAGATGTATGAGCACGTTATGTGTGCCCATACATGTCCTTGGATGAGGATTTCTTTTTTTCTTGAATCAGGTGTCTTGCCTCACCCCACGTTTCCTTCCACCCGTGGGAAACTTCATTACCTGGAACATGACTGTCTCTTTAGGGGGTGGTGTGTTACCCCCTGTCTTTGGGTTCCCGGAGATGCAAATCCTTACCTGACACTTAATGCCCGCCAGGCTACAGGTACACGTTTCTGGGTCACAGAACACACGGCAGTCACAGCCACAGTCCTCTCGCGACAGGCGGATGGCTCGCAGCTCGTGCTTTTCTTCCACATCGATCTTTTTCACTCCGGACGCCCGCAGCAGCGCTCGTCGTTTTTTTGTTGGCAGGGGTTGTAGGAAGAAGTATTCGTCTACCTCTGTGTTGTCTAAATCAATATCATCATCAGAAATGTCATCCACGGTCAGAGTGCTAGCTTCTTCAGACTCCACGGTGCCGTTCTTCGTCATCTAGAAACACAACGCAGCAAATAAGAGACGGCGAGGGCAGAGGCTGCAATCCTAACTTCCACAGTTCAGAACAATGAAACTATTCCATTCCATCAGGTCCCCATAATCAATAAGTGTTTGTGGGTCCAATCACTTCCATTTATTTTCCTCTTTAGAGAAGTCACAGGGAGGAAAATGAAGGCATCAAAATGACAGGCTTTTAAATGCACAGAGGACTGTTAATTGGGTCTCTTAACCTCCTAATGTGAGAGCTAGAGTTGTTAGAGCTTTTAGCCAGGGCAATGTGAAAAGGACCAAAGGTTACAGATGCCCATCAATGAAAGCTATCTTTAGACTTGGTTCGTGATGGGCGGCTCTGGTGTTGGAATAAATTCACCCTTGTTCAGAGATGGTAACACCTTCATGGGAGCCATTGCCACCTAAGTCAGCAAACACGCTGTCCTTGAAATGACCACCCTGTCTTTGGGAGTCCAGCAACAGCACGTACTAGGAAATAAACACGTGCAGCATTGGGATTAGGAACGTGGTTACCTGGTTACCCTACAGAGCATTCCAAGAATGAGCCCTTGATATGAAGAAATCAGTCAGGTCGCTGTGACTGCAGTAAGACAAGGAGCAGAGGGCAGTGCTGGCAGGAGCTGGCCAGTGGGCACTGAGACAATAACCTCGCCCTCAAAGGAGGTCCCACTATCCTGTGCCCAAAGCAAGCGCTTCCTCATTACAGCTCCTGTGGACAACTGTCTCCTCTCCCCATAACTGTTCTGCTGCTATTTATGTTTCTACTCTAATTAATTCCATCCATCAGTAAACCCTGTATCAGTATTTCACTTCTGACTGTTCTACCACCACATATTGTTTCCTTCTTAAAAAAGCATTTAGAAAGAGATGTTTTCTCTGATTATGAGCAAAAATGTATTCTGAGGGGTAGTACAGGAATACATGCCAAAGCTCTGTAAGGGATTATTCAAAAAAAGTTTTAAATATGGAAGCTTTTTTGATCCTTTAATTTTAAAATTTATTCATAAATGTCACTAATTGTAATCATTACCATGCTATTTGATCTTAACAATGGCTCAATCATGTCACAATTAAAATGCTCTGGTGACATCAGACATCAATCTCTCAACTTCATAGAAAAGGTCCGACATTTAGATTAGAATATTAATTACTGACCCCAAATCCCAAACTGGATTACTCTGAATGCACTGAAAAATGAATAGAAGACTGGTCTTTGCCCTCAAGTAGAGGAAACAATACAGTAGCAAGTGTATATTAAAATGTATTTCAAAGGGTCCCTGAAATGCATTTAAAAAAACTACTACATTGTACTTTTTGAATATTTTAGAATTTAAATCTATTTCCTTACAAAGGTGTGCATTCCCCTTCACTGGGTTTTGTTTCTTGGCATGATCTGCAATTTTTTCCTTCCTTGGCATTTCTTTATAAAGGTATTGGTTCAGCCGTTTTCATGTTTCCGGATGTCCACTATTAGGATGTTATTTTGAGTGGTTTCTGTTACCATTTGTGCTAATTCTTATTTGCAAACAGAAGCATCTTTCTATCTGTAAAGATCTGATTTGCTAAGGAATTCAAGTGTGTAATTGCCTAACATCTACTCAATTCTCTGATAGGAAAAGCTGCATTACCACACAGGAAGAGTTACCTTTCTCATCTTGTCACCTCTGTGGCACTTAGATTTGTTTCCATTGATTCTTGGTTTGCCTAAGTGAACCTCATCAAACTTCTGACTCCACGACATATGAATACCAGAAATATTCTGGAAGAACATATTCTTTTTTTTCAAAATGCTTGTTTTTTTTTTCATTTTTTAAAAATTTTATTTTATTGTTTAAAGTATTACAAATAGTAGTACACATGTCCGCCCAAGCCTGGAGCACTGATCTGGCCCCCGCAGGTGACGCTGAAGCAGATGCCCATGGTGGCCCTCCAGCAGTCTTAAAAGTGCGAAGAACATATTCTTAAAGGTATTGCATTTGCCCGGGGCTGAAGGCCAGTCTCCCTGTCTCCATCTCTTTGGTTAGACATATTTTCTCTGTACTTGTCAAAATAGGTTGTGCATATGACATGGCAAGTATTTGGAATATTAAAGTTTTCCATTTGGTGTTGGAGCAGGCCTCCATTTGGGGATGTATTCCGGGGAGGCAAAGCAGGAAGTATGCCCTTGAGTAATCTCTGTAGTGTTTAACAGCGAAGTTTGGTAGGAATAAGTGGAGTTAAAAAAATACCATGGTGTTAGAGAAAACTGAGAAAAGTGTATAACCCTGGGAAGACATTGGAAATGGTACCAGAGGGGAGATAGTCCTAATCTCAGGAAGAAGAGGAAGAACAATCAAGGTTGAAAAAATATTGAGAAAAAGAGGCTAGTCAAAGCTGTGAAAGCTAAATTAAATTTCCTAGAACAAGGTAGTAGAATCCAGTAAGATATAACCCAGAGGCAACAGGAAATGCCAAGGCTCTTTGAAATGTTCAAATGGCTGCCTAATGCATTTTACAGATACATGTGAAATGGGAATAAAGGCTAATGTAATTGTTCAACAGTGTGGTGCTGATGATGAAATCTAAGCACTTAATTTGGAAAAGAGTATAGTATCAAGATGACTGCATTGATTACTGTGAAGGGTATGACATGTTTGAATGCGCTTGACAGAGAAAAAGAACTGTGCTCTGTAATTTAGAAATCTAAAGGTAGTTATTTCTTCTGGGACCATGCATTTTATTCAATCAGCTTTATCTATTAATTGTTTTTAGACAATGTTTGGAACATCAACAACAAAAAGGATACACTTGAACCCCCAAAATAAAATTGTGCTTTTTTTTCTACAAATCTAATTGTACATATTATTACCCAATATATCTATGTCATAATTTGATTGAGATGAATTACTAAATTAGAAGAAATTTTATAATGAAAAATGAATCTCTATTCTTAATTTGTCCTCAACATATTTATTATAAGGAAGCACTAAGAAGTGTGGATGTTTCTTTTCACTACTTCTCCACTATGAAGGCCCCATTGGAAGAAGTGCTATGGAATACATTGGGTTGGAGGCACAGAGGAAAGAGAAAATGTCTCTTTACTGCTTTGGGGCTGTTGGTTCTCAAATAAGTAGGAGGGAAACTGCCCGGTTCCAAGTCCAGTGGGTTTCCTGTGGTGTTTTATCTGGTCTCCGTAGTGAGAGCTTTGGAAAGCGTTTGTCTTGTCAGATGCTGCCTTCTCTCTGCTTTACTCAACAGGCGGTTCACCGCCTCTCACAGAGGACCACCTCCAGGCAAAACCAAAGTGGCAAAGTTTGTTTGCCGCAATCCTGGCTTTCTTCTTTGGACCCCTTTCTGTGCCGTAAACCTTCCTGCTGCCCCAGTGAAGATAATAAAATCACTTTAGCTACATTTGTTTTGCTACTTACCTCAGAAGGATTTTTATTTCAAAACAAATGTTGCTAATATTAAAGGTAAAATTTCAAGTATCAGAGCGAAATTTTTGGACAGTTAATGTTTTTGTTTTCCAGTTATTGTTTTTGGATAGCTAATTTTAGATTTTGAATAGGTAAACCTTATCCCAATAGAGTCAGTGATATGTCAAAAACCATAAATGTTAATATGCTAGAGGAATCACAATGAAAATATACAAGCTTTCCTCCATTTATTTTCCTCAGTTGTTTTCGTTTTTTTTAGCAAACTGGTCCACATTGCTGTGATCTTTTATTAGGTTCATGTAATCATGTGATGTGTGTTTCTGAGTTTCTGAACACTTTCAGTGTAGTGAGGCTAAAATCAGGTCATCTTAGAATCCCATTATCGTTTTTGCTTGGTATTCATTTGGAAGAAGCTATGCTATCCAAATGATTTTTGTTTGCATCTTCACCAAAAGAAAAGGCTGCATGTTTTCACCTCTCTGCTTATCAATGACAAGCCAAGACATGCCACCTACTCAGATGATTGCCTCTCCAACTTCCAACACAAAGCACAATGAATAAAGTGAATCAATAATAGAATTCTCTTTTTGTTTCTTTTCTTCTTCAGCTTGTTAAAAAAGGCATAGAAGTAGCTGAATACAAATGACAGGGTCAGAATATATCACTGCCTGATGTGGAGGAAGGTTCCTGTAGTTGTGTGGCTCCCCCTGATATCCATCACATGCACAATCTGCTTCAAAGTTCACAATAAATCTTCTGGTTTTCGGATAGAATTATAGTTCCCCAGCTGTTAAAAACCACTGCACACAGTACTCAACCTCAGAAAGGGACGGCTCCCTATAGGTACACAGATTGTCTTTCCCAAGGTCTATAGGGGATAATCAATTAATTTTAGAAGAGGAAGTAACAAGATCATAGGATCAGTTTCCTGCCGAGTGAGCCAGCTATATCACATCTTAGTGCTGCTTCTTCTTTAGTTGTACACACGGTCTCATAATTTACCTATTCCACTGGGTCTTTGCTAATATTAACGTAAATAATGTTTATAAAATGTCTGACAAATAAAAATCACTGAATGAATGGCAACCATTACTACTGAGTTTGAAGAATGACTTCACTCTTTGAGTAGGATGTAGAGTTGGTTTGTAGTGGGTTAGAAAGGCAGAAGGTAGATTTCACCAGCAAACCTGCAAATTATTATTAAGTTAAACAACATGAAAGCAGTCACAAACAACAACAATAATGGATTGCTACCAAAAAATCTTAAGGGACATTTAATGAAAGATGGCAAAAGCACCTCCAAAGGAAATATGAAACATGCTCTATGCTGACTGTGTCCAGCTTAATTTAAGTACCTGCCTTCTTGTGCAGTTGATAGCAAAGCACATATATAAATAGCAAAATGCATAGAAACAAGGGATTTGGAAACACACATCATATCTCTGCCAACTTTATACTAGAAACTAAAAACTTAAGATACAGGTAATAATGGTATGCTTATGGTGCTTCAGCTATTTCATGAATAACCCTTTATGTTAAGTACTTTGGATTACCTGGATTTTTTTTGTCATTAGATAATGATGGGAGAGCATTTTATATATATTGGTAGGTTGCTGAATCATTGCAGATATAAAAAGAGCCTCTGGTTGATGAAAGAAGTTTTCTGAGCTGTGTTTCTCTCCAGTTAATCTCTAATGTGGCAGAACAATGGGTATCTCCACCTGGACACCTCCCTGACATGTCTTAAAGAACTCAAAAGCCTCTGAAAATTAGTATGTCCAAAAAATATCTCATTATTTACACCCCCCCGACACACACACATACCCAGTCCCAATCTGTACCTCTTCCTGGATTCCTTGTCATATCCTTGTCATAGAGGAAGATACTATCATCCACAACTTACTCACTTTTGTAAGCCAGAAATTCAGGAGTCGTTCTTTTCCTTCCAAATCCACCCATTATCAAGGACTGTTGATTTTACTCCCTAAATTTCTCCCTCTGTCTATCTCTTTTCATCTTCCTTACAATCAATCTAATCTAGCTCACCCTCATCTTTCTCCTGGACTGTTGCAATAGCCTCTTACCTGGTCTAACTCCACATACCACAACCCCCCACATGGCTGTCCCCACCCCTTACCCCCAAAATATTCTCACATCAGAGCATGACCAGATCACATTACCCCACCAACCCAAACCCATGCTGAGAACTGCTGGATGACTTCTGATGGCCTTAGGATGAAGAGAGAAAGGAAAAAGCTCTAACAGGGTCTACAAGGCCCTGTCCCAACTCCTTCACGTCACTCCACTCTTCCTGTCCCTGCTGCAGCCCCACACGCCTGTGTGCTCACTGAGCTTCTTCCTGCCACAGGGCAGCTCCGGGCCTTCCTGCTGCCTGAGCCGATGTTGCCACCCCTTTCGCCTAGTTATCTGCTCAGATTTCAGTTCAGTTGTCATTCCCTTGAAGAAACCTTCTGTGACCTTCAGATCACAATTCTCTATTATGTACTTTTACAGCACCTTGCAACTCTCCTTCATAGCACTTAATACAGCTGTGACTCTATTTTGTCTACATGATTAATATTTTCCTTTCCTATTAATATATTAATATGCAAGTTCCAGGAGAAAAGGGACCGTATCTACTTTTGATACCAGTTAGCCCCAGCCAAAACACAGGGTCTATGATTTAGAATTACTCAATAATACACCTTTTCAAAGTGTATTTTTTTAAGTAAACCTTTTCAAAAAAAGGTTTCATTATATCTCACTACCAATTTTACACACACACACACACACACACACACACACTCTCACACACACACACACACACACACTCTCTCTCACACACACACACACACACACACACACACACACACATTGAGCATCCCCACCCTCCTTGCCCTCAGGGGCAGATTTCTGAAGCACCATTTTCCCTTCTATTCTTAAGTCCAGAGTTTGAAGGCCCAGAGAGGGATCAGCCTTCCCCCAAGCTCACACAGCAAGGGAGGGAGATGGATAGAGAAAGGGGGCCTAGATGGGGCAGGCAGCCCTGCACTGTCTCCTTGGAATCCTAGGGAGTCTGGGCCCCGGTTGCGTGGGAGAACTGCTCCTCACTTCTGGGCCAGTAGATGCCTTCCACCTGCCGCTTCTCCCGCAGTTCCCGCACCAGCAGCACCAGCCCCACGGACAGGAGCAGGGCAGCCAAGAGGGGAGAAGAACACGGTGACAGCAGCGGTGGCCTCCCTATAGAATGAATTATGCATAAACAACATCAGGTAAATTTTCCACATTACTTCATTACTTTCAGCGAAGACACTATACCGTTTTGGCTGAAAAAAAAAAAGCCGTAGCAGGCAGTCTGTTGTATAAAATGCCCAGTTTGGCCTGTGGATATAAATATGAAAATGCTTAACTCAACTAAATCGAAGACAAGACACGAGGTTTTGCAAAAAGTGAGTTTCAAATGCCGTTTACCTTTAGTTTTAAAGAGTTCAGTTTTTCCTCCCTGAGGTGTTCTCTTAACATCTCCCGGTGGATCCGCTCCTGCTCCCGGGCGAATTCGCCCAGAGTGTACTGGCGCACGCTGTTGTGGCGGCTGGACATGCCCAGCGTGCTGCCCCCTTGGCTGGGCACGCTGGTGAAGCCCTGCCTCCTGGTGAAGTAGTACACGGTGACACAGCTGAAATGCACATTCTTCGTCCGCAGCCGCTTCTCCCTTTTGAGGATGGAGGAAGCTGAGAGAGAAAAAAGCAAGACAGTGACCACTTGGGGCAGCAGTTTTAGATGAGGCCAAGAATTAGAAACTGCCACCTGAATCTTTTGGTCAATCCTTTTTGGCGGGGAGACACAGAAAGGGTCATATCTCAGGATTAGCGCCTATTTCTATGTCCTTTCTTTAATCTTTCTCTAGCTGCGGTGGAGTAGACTTTTAAGTTCCGTAAATAGCAGTAGTCTAAACAAAACTTTAGGAAAGTTGCCAATAGTCTGTGAATCTGTCGCAGAATTTAATTTTTCACTTCCCCAAACCTCTGAAGTTTCTGTTTTATGGTTTTCACATGAGTTGCATCAGACTTTAATCAGAAAAGACATACTACAAACCTTCACACTTTGGGTCTCATTTTGATATGGAGGGCATTTCTGCTGTTCTAAGTCCCTTGGCATAAAAATATGTCAACTTAAAAATTTCAGAAAATTCTAAAAAGCAATAAAAATCCACAAAAAAGGCTCACTGGCAGTATTTAGGTATTTTTATAATAAAAATTTAACAAAGCTTTTATTTGATATGACTCTCACTAAATAGCATACAGACAGGGGGATTTTAATCTAAGTGTATGCTGAGACCATTGAAAATGCCATGAAACGTTTTATTATTAGTTACTAGAGGCCCAGTGCACAAAATTTGTGCATTGGGGGGCGGAGGGGGGCGGGGGGGGGTGAGGTCCCTCAGCCAGGTCTGTGACCTCTCGCAGTCCAGGAGCCCTCAGGGGATGTCCCTCAGTAGGACAAACAGTGCTGCAGTGGAGGTGGGAGAGGCTCCTGCCACCGCTGCTGCACTCACCAGCCGTGAGCCCAGCTTCTGGCTGAGCGGTGCCCTCCCCTCCACCCCCCCCCCCCCCGGGAGCACACTGACCACAAGGGGGCAGCTCCTGCATTGAACATCTGCCCCCTGGTGGTCAGTGTGCATCATAGTGAACCGTCGTTCCACAGTTTGGTTGATTTGCATATTAGCCTTTTATTATATAGGATAGGGACTCGAGATGCACAGAGTATCATGGAGGGTTGAGACACATACTATAGTCGACAGAAAGAAAGTCACATTCTAATCAGGACCTTTTAGAGTTGAAAGACATACTAGATATCATCTAGCCCATTCTTTTTATTTTATAGTGAAGTGACTCAGGCTTGCAGAATTTGAGTGGCTTTTTTAAGTGTAGACAGTTAGTCGCAAAACTAATCTTAAACCCAAAAGCACCGGGTCTGTTGCTATATTATATGACACTTCTCCATTGGGTAAGGAAAGGTACAATGAATTGAAGAGACACATATAGAATGCTGCTGCTATGGATTAAACTGTGCCTCCTCACGCCCAAAATATATTGAAGTTCTCTCTCTCAATACCCTGGATGTAACCTTATTAAGGAATAGTGTCATCATAGAGGTGATCACGTTACAGTAAGGTCTTTAGGGCCGGTTTTAATCTAATATGACTGTGTCCACATAAAAAAGGGAACAATTGGGCACAGACATGCACAGAGGGGTGATGTACAGACACAGGGAGAAGCCCACGTGAAGATGGAGAAAGATGGGGATTTTGCTGCCAAAGCCAAGGAATGCTTGGGGCCACCAGAAACCGGAAAAGGCCAAGAAAGGCCGTTCCCCTGCAGCTTTCAGAGGAGCATGGCCCTGCCAGCACCTTGACTTCGATCTTCTAGTCTCCAGAACTGTGAGACAGGAAACTTCTGTTCTAAGCCACTGAGTTGGTGGCATTTTTTTTTTTACAGCAGCTTTAGGAAACTAACACACATGCTAAAGTAGAACAACAGACAGGAAGAAACAATGCACTGAGAATAAATCCTTGATAGCAAAAATTAATAAAAACTAACATTTGCAAAGTGTTTCTTAAGTTCTGTATTATGCAAAGAACTTTACATGAATTATTTTATCTTGACAACTCCTTGGGTTGATATTGCCCTTGTCTCCGTCTCCATTTTGAGGAAACCAAGTCATCAAAAGTTACATAACATGGCCACGGTCATATAACCAGTGGTGAAGCTGGGATTCATTATTCCTGAGCCCAGGGTTTTAAACATCATGTCACAGCCAGAGCTGACGTCACCCAGGAAGTTGCACAAGGCTGAGAGATGTCAACTGCTACTGTCCTCCAAGATGATTTTAATTTGGAAGGCTGCATAAGCAATGTAAAAGAAAGACTACAGTATCACTTTGGATTTATATAGTATCTTCTTCCATGTGGGTTCAAGTTTTTTTTGTGTGTGTCTTATTCCCCACCTCACTCAATAACATATTTAAGCCAAATATAAAGAGGCTGCTATGATTAATCTCATTTCATAGATTTATGTATTCAATAAGTATTAACCAAGGACCTAGTATGTATGAGAAAATGTTCTAGATGATTGGATACATTGGTGAATAAACCAGATGGTGATCCCTGACCGTGAAGCTTTCATTTTCAGTGATGAGCTCAGACAGAATGAACAGATTCAGAAGAATATAGAGTATGAGAAATAGGACATGTGGGCAAGAATTTAGCTTCCCCAACCTCCCCTCTTCCCTACTGTTATACTTCTCCAAAGGAGATTGCCAGAAAGCAAATGCTTTCAAACGCGTGCATAATTTCCCCATTTATTTATGTGTATGTTCACTGCAACATATACTCCTGGCTGCAGAGACAATTTTCAGCTTTGATTTAAAAGCTCTGATCTGCTTCATAACCGTATGTTTAAATCACCTCAAAAAAGAGAAGCATTTGTAAAAATGTAAAAGATCACCGTAGAAAGCAAAATTCAACAATCTGCCTGGTGATCTGACAACCTCATCTGTCACCCCTTACAGCAGGCTAGAGCTTCTGATTTTGGGGTGATAATCTTCAACCTTTTTCACCCTTGATATCATAATAATGATGCCCTTAAATCATTATCATTTAAGGCCATACATTTATAGGTAAGAAAAAATATTAATGTAGTAATTTAAGATAATTATTATAAGCACCTCTGACAACTTTATTACTTGTTTCTTCTTAGACAATTCTGGTACTCTAGACCAATTTCCTTCTTAAAAATTTATTTAGATCGTAAATCTGTATTTTTAGATTATAAGAAGAACTCTTCAATCTTCTGCATGAATATATTGTACCACCGTTTCCTAAAAAACCAGATAATCCTTTCCAGAAAGTCAGTCCAGAAAGGACTTTCTAACAGAGAGCAGGGGCCCCTCACCTGGGCTCTTGGCATCACTAGCATTGTCAAGTTGTGCTAGGATTCGTGATGCTTCTGTCCCACAAGCCTTCACAAGTCAAACCTGTGCATATGGTTGTTTTAGCATTTGCATATTATAAATAGCACTGAGAAAAGAATGATTGGAACGCCTACAAAGTATATTTAAAAGGAAGGCTTTGAAATACTATAAGATCAGCTGTATGAGGGATGTTTTAAGTGTGGGTTTCCTGAACTTAGGAGCCACCCGCGTCTCTTCTGATTGCATCGGAGCACTAGCATGGGCTTTTATGGGCTATCTCCTGCCTCCAGGCCCCAATTTGACTAACATCACAAAATGAAGTCATAAAAAAAGAGTCTGTTTTTCAAGCCTGGGAAAAACAGACAAGTTCACTCAACACATCTGCCTTAGGGAATCCAAACCTCCCTGATATACCTACCTAGTAAGTTGTGCCCTTTGCAGAATGCCTGAACTCAGCTTTGTGTCTCTACAGAGTTTCATGTTCAGTTTACTACTGTGAGGTCAAGAGCAAGAAAAAGGCAGGAGAAGCGGTCTTTCATTACTGTTTTAAAAAGAATTAGTCTGTTTTCATGCACAATACTAATTTTTTGGTGTCTTTCAGCTCCTTTTCTTTTATCCCATTTACAATGAACTCCCGCCCAATCCCCCCTTCCCCCCCACCTCCCAAAGCAGAAGTGTCTGAATGCAACAATACTGCACATGCTGCCTAGGACACAGCTCTTGGGAACACCACTATGGTAACCACATCATAATGTGAATATTGGTGTTACTATAAAATGATCACATATTATGGAGATAATGTTGATTTCTATTAAATTAAAAAAATAAACAGCTCAGGGAGAATGATATCAGCTATCAGCAGGTTATTCTTCCTAAAAAATGCTTTAGAAATGAATGGTAAATAAAAATGAGAAAGTCACTCATTCACAATGCCAGGGTAAGAATTTAATTAGATAAAGTAAAATAAACTGTATCACAAAATATATAATTAGTTCATGGGCAGAGTGGATTAAAAATGGAAGTCAAAACTACATTTGGGGCAGTGTGTTTCCAGGGTGAGACAGTATTCCAATAAGACCAATATTCTGGATATTCTGATCCCACAGAGGAGATGAATATATCAGGTATCAGAGTTGAATCACATCAATCTCTAATAAAATTCAACTGACTTTGCTTAATTTCCACACTCATAAACCAACCTGTTCATATAAATTTGGATACACCTTCAAGACTAATGAGTTGACACATCAATTTTGCTTCTTACTGCAAACGACTTGTTTCAAATTTATACTTTAGCCATTAGTGAATGTGATTAGCGCATACCACGCCATCTGAAATTGCCTTCTCCGCACGCACAGAGACCATCATGCGGAGACAGAGGGAAGCTGGATAGACAGGGACAGGAACCATGATGGGGGGTGGGAAATAGAACCGGGAAACCCAGCTGGGCAGGGAAGGAAGGGCACACACAGCAGACAAACTTTAAAATGTATGGATGTTGCTAAGACAGGCAGCTTGCAAATAACCAATCACAAGGCAGTGAGGTATATAAACCAATCCCAAGGATGTGGCTAAGGCAGAATTCTTTGACAGGACCAATCAAGAACTAGCAAGATATGCATCTGCCCCTAGATTAAAAAGCGCACATGCTTCCTCTCTCCTCTCTGCTCTCCCTGCTGTGCTAGCTTCTTGGGTTGATGGCAGGGTTGATGGCTCCCCTGCACCCATGTGGTTTATGGCCATGTGGGACTCTACACAT